TCTCAGACTGCGGCCTTACTTGTTGTTCCTAGAATATTTAAAAGTTGAATGGGAGGCAGAGCCTTCAGCTTTCAGGCTGTCTGTGGAATCAGACAGCTTTGCCTTAGGTTTCCTTCTGTTAAAAGGGAGTCTTTCCTTTCCACCATCTCCAAGTGCTTGCTCATATGGGGTCATCTGATTGTTGGCGTTCTGGAAGCATTATTGAAGGGTCTTTATCTTAAAATATAAAGCGCCTTGAGGCAACTGTTGCCACTCTCTGTCACACACACACACACACACACACACACACACACACACACACACACACACACACACACACACATTCTCATTTTTATATCTTAGTGAGGTTATGTAATTGACATAATGCTTATCCTAACCATCAAAAATGAAGGATTAACCCTAACCCTTAGCCTAAACCATAACCTAACTGTAACCCTGACACTAAAACCACATTTTGACTTTCAAAAATGCCTTCAAACTCACGAGGACAGGCACTTTTGTCCTCAAAGTGACCTTTGGTCCCCACAAGTATAGTAAAATTCCAGTTTTTGGTCCCCACAAAGATTTCTAAAGAGGTACACACACACACATATATATCCACGCACACACAAAGTGCTGCCCTTCCTAATTATAACCGTTTGTAGAGTTTCCGGTGTACAGAATGAAAGGACCACCGTCTTCCAGTCATGTTCTTCCATCCATACCTGTCACAACACTTCCTGCCAGGGGTCAGATAACCTATGGAAACCTAGCAGTTGGTGAGGAAGGTGGTCTCCTCTCTCAACCACACGTTCAGTGAGCAGCCATGATGCACGCAGTCCCAACCGATCTTTCAGCAGCAACTCTCTGACATTCAGCTAAATCATCTCAGATAAACTTGCACACAAACACACAAAGATGTACAGAGACACACCCGTACTGAGAAAACTTCCAAGCAGCGAGATAAGCCATAGCATGTCACATGCAAATTAAAAGCAAAAGCTGCCTTAAACCAAAAATAACTGTGTGTTTTTATGATGCTGGGATGTTTATGACCAAAGAGGGAAACCAAGCCCATTGACAAACACTGCCACTGCTCACGAACTCTGACTTAATGACAGTAAACTTGCCATTGTGTAGGGGAGGGGGACAGGGCACTGGGCTTCTGTTCCTGCACAGAGGCCAGTAGTTATTAGAATATTTTACAGTGACATTAAGACAAATAAAACATTTGCTTGCATAGTGTTGATGCAGTTTTGCAGTAAATCATAGTATGTATGAGTATAAATGTTTGAGAACATCTCACATGTCCTCAACTGGAAGAATCAGAATAAGAATCAGAAAGGGTTTTATTGCCAAATGTTGAGCAGGTTTACAACATTAGGAAATTGCTGCAGTGCTTCAGTGCAAACATACTGTCATAAATTACGCTTAAATAGACATGAAAAAATAAAAATAAGAATAAGAATTAAAGTGCTACGTAGAAAGATATATACATGAGTGCAGGTGGTGATCAGTGCCAGACATGGAATGATGCAGTGACACAGCGTAGGGTCATGTGTTAGTGGTGGGAACAGTCATACGGAAGCTTCATTAACATGAGATTAATGCATATTGCTGCAAATAAAATAAATAAAGCCTGAAGAAAGCTGTAGTAGGTGCAGGGGGTAACTCTTTTGCAAAAACAGTGTTTTCTGTTTAAGAATGATAGCCATTCATGGCTTTGACTTAGCATGGAACACACTGTAGTTTTACTAAATGTTCATTAGCCTGAGCTAATTTTGGCAGAACATTTAAAGTGGATATTTAAAGTGAAAGGAAAGAAAAGCAAGATCAAACTAATTGTGCTACAAAGATTTTATTAGAGTTACCACACGCTGACTGTCCAACTATAAATTTTCAAATTTAATGTCAGATGTCATGCAAATGCAAACAGGGCAGTTTTGGTTTGTTTTTTGGAGGAGCTGAACCATTCAGTTCCATTCAGATTTGTAGAGAAGAAGTAAGTAAGGGTTTGCATGTCTGTAATCAGCATCACTGGGAGATAAACATCCTCTTACATCAGCTTCAGTGTGTGTGTTTAAGAGAGAGAGATGAGTTACAGTAGAGTTATGTTTTGGGTCTCTACATTGGGTGCTGACAGGGAGGTTAGGCCATTTTTCAAGAGTTTGTCCAATTACAATTACTCCTAGACACAAAAAGACAGGAACTTTATTAGATTTAACCTTTTACAACATTATCTGTCATTTTGGTGTACTCTGAAGTTATAATGATATGATGATAAGTTCCATCCATCCATTCAGCAAGAGGCAGGGTACAGCCTGGAGAGGTCAGTCTGTCAAAAGGCTAACACAGTCACACTCACATTCATACCTATGGGCAATTTAGAATCACCAATTAGCTCTGCCTCCCATTCAACTTTTTGGTTGTTTTTGGAATGTGTGAGGAAGCCAGACCACCTGGATGGAACCCACTCAGACATGGGGAGAGCATGCAAAGTCCACACAGAAAGGGCCCAGTCATATGGTGGATTTGAACCTTCTTGCCGAGAGACAAGAGTGCTAACCACTGCACAAATGTTACTCGCCATTCCTCCAGTAGGGCAAGAAAATATCAGAAATGCCTGTTTCACTGAAAAAGTTATTATGTTCATTTTAATGACAGTACCATCTAATGACAAAGATACAATACTTCGTCTGTTAGACAGTTTAACAAGTTTATGTTCCTAGAAAGTGCTGACAAAGACCGTTCCATTTAATATGTTCATACATTCTTATAGCTATTTCAGAAAAGGTCCAGATGACATCCATTAATAACTGAATGTTTTGTGGTGCTGCTACTTTCATATTTCACATTACAGTTTTTAAAAGCAGACTTTTCTGTTCAGGGTTAAGCACACATCAAGCCATTAAATTCCACGTCAAAGATACAGTTTTAGAAGTCTGAGTGGGCTGCGGTATTGGGTTGCATATGCAGATAAGACCCGAAGGAATTCTTGACCTGCCTCTTGATTCTCCATTCAGAAAGTGCCCTCTGAGAATGTTTTCATTCATGCTTTTTCGACCCCAATCTCTGGTCAGCCTTCATCTTTACTTAATGTCTCATAGAATGGATGTGTGTATGTGGGGGGCACATCTCTTTTTTAAAGGGGACAATAAAAGGTACATGAAAAGTCATGAAAGTGTTGTGATAGTATTGCAATAAATAGCTTAACTTTCAATATTTATTTGTAGTTATAAATATAGACACACTGTATTTCAATGCTGCACAGCAAAAGAACAGCAGGGTCACTTAATTTAATTCATTAAAACTGTTGTTCTAATGTACTGTGAGCAGTTTCGAAGGATTAAATCAACAACTTTAGCAGCTGCTCAGATGGTGTGGATGTCTAAATAAATATAATTCAGCGCCCAAACACAACCTGTGATGTTTTCTTTAGGTCCCTAATGACAAGGAAGGAAAAGATGAAGAGTGGTGATAAAGTCCGGCTGGGCTTAACTGAATCTATAAGTGTCTCTCACAAGAAAAGATTTATGAAGGTTCATTTTTTAAGAAGATTTTCTCAAAGTGTTGCAGTATGTTTTTTTCCAGGTTATGAGAAATAAACTAAATGATATAAACCGAAATCTTGTGATTCCATATAAAATCCTGGGTTAGATGTTTTCGACTGAAAAGCTGTCTGCTGTAAATTCCCTTTCTACACTGTCAGCTTGCAAATATTAACATTTTTCCCAAGTACAATATTGTAAAGTCGTTTTCGAGTAAATAACTGTATATTACATTGCGTCATGGGAATTTTCCAAATCAAATTCGTTTTACTGGACCTATATTTTAAGCAAAAATGGGGGGGGGGGGGGATGTCTTTTTGGCTCATTTCTTTGTAATTTCTTTGTAATTTCAGTCAACAATTTGTAATTTTTCACTGACTGATATTGCTATCTAAAGTTTTGAGGCCTTAAAGCTCACGATTCATCAATATCAATATAAGTATTTTTGTTCTTAATTTAACACTAACGATTTAAACCAATCTACCCGAAATGGAGTTCTTGCTACAGCGGGCGGTCTCAGACTAACGCAGTGGGAGGTGCGCCGGTCTTTCTCTGTCGGGTTTTTTTTTTTTTTTTTTTTTTTGCAACAAGTGGTAAGAAGAGAAACAAACCTCTGACCGTCACAATAAAGCAGGCGAGTCGGCAGAAGCGCGGTGGACTAATAAAACAAGGAGGGTAAAACAGCGAACCGCTGCTGCTGTGAACATCTGGCTGAACGGGGATGCTTCATGAAAATGTTTAACTGTGTGTCCAAAAGCGTGGTGAGTACAAATCTATCATTAAGTCACATTCTGTAAGTTAATCACAGGTAAAACAAACTTCGTACGAGCTTATAGTTATTTATTATTTTCATCATCATCATTATTATTATTATTATTATTATTATGTTTATTTCGGAAAATTAGTTACATAATATTTTCAAACAGACTCGTTACATTTCAGCTGCCCTGTATCCCAGTGCTCATTTACAACGAACAATTGACGAATGTGGGCCAGCGACCTAAATTAGCTTAGTGAACTTTTAAGATACCCCAAATATAATGCAATATTTGAAGTTAGAGGGTTCAGCGAGCTTTTTGTTTTCGATAAAGTCAGGTACAGGCTTCTAAAAAAGTGACACATTTTCTTCAATTTGCATAAGTTCCGCATCACAGTACATAAATAAAATAAAATAAAACAAAATATAAATATTTATTCATGCAGACGTTAGCAATATAAATACAAAATAAAGACGGGCACCTCCACGTTTCATATTTTCGTAGCCTACGCCATGTAGCTACACTTTCAAAAATGTAATAGAAAGGGGGGGAAGCCTGATTTGTGACCTGACTCTGGAAGACTGTAGCCAAGTGCAGACTGTAGCGGGACAAGCATACAGTGTCTTTAGCCTGTGCACGTGCGTTACTAAACACACAATTAGTCAGAATTAAATTCAGCTGTGCGCGAGGCCGCTCTACATGCGGTCCCACGAGCTACTAATTGAACATATACGTCCTCTTTTCCCCCACAATGCTAATAGAATATTTTAAGTCATATTTGGGCTTCTGTAATAAAAATAATATTTAGCTCGACACCATGACTGGACACATGTCTACTTAAATAAAATAAATGCACACTCATACCTATAGAAAGCGAAGGCTTATCTCGATGGTTGTCATATGAGGACGACATAACTTTTACTAGGTGCCAGTCAGGCTAGTGCGTCACTCCAGACTTATGGCTGACACCATGTCAGAAGAAGAAACGCCATCGACGGAGGTTGTTTTCACTCAGCTACAACAAGGACATATTTATAGCGACACAGTAGGTGTTTCACTTCCAAATTAACTGCGTTTTCTTTTTCCCGTGGGGATAACAGCTTGAGACAGACAGAAATTGCAAGGAGCACGCGTGAGTGTACGCATTTGAGTAGCAAATGTACATAAAACAAACGCAATTAATTTTTAAATTGACTTATGCTCCTAAATTTCGTGACACATTTGAGGACATTTTTAAACGTGTAAAGTTCTTTTTTTGCTGTCCCTTTTTAATCATTTTGATTTGTATTTATTTTTTTACTCTGGGGACTGTTATTTCTAATAGGGCTCCTCTGGTCCCGATGATATTTTTGATGAGGACTCTTACTCTCCGTCCTCCCTCTCCTCGTCCTCTTCGTCTGCGGTCCCCACCGAGGTCTGTGTGCAGGGGAAACCGGTGTGCACCTCCTGCGGTCTGGAGATAGTGGACAGATACCTCCTGAAGGTCAAACTAACATACTGTGTCTGGCCAAAATGTCACTGACAACACTTCCAAACTAGGCCAGTTTTAATACAAAGCAGTCCAGTTATCATTCTAAGAAAAGGGGGGAAAAGTAGTTCAGATATTTTCAGCACTTGTCAGCTTTCTTTTAATAGAGTTGTACAGCAAAGTTGCCTCTCTTTATAGCTAAATGTGGATTTGATTGTCCTACAAGAGGAATTAAATCATTTTGAGGGTTTATTAATTTTGAAAACTGATAAATATATGAGCTAGCCTAAGCAGAACAAGTATTTCTGCAATTTTACACAGCACATTAATGCTTCGTACTAATCTTCACCCTCAGAAAATAAAGTATTTCATTTTGCCTGTAGGTTTATGATCGCCTTGTCATTGGGGTCACAGTTCTTAAGGTACAGCTGTTGAACCCTTGGCATGGGGTCCTCTGTGCTTTAGAGGGCAGTGCTGATACATTGACTTTTTTTATTTTTTATTTTTATATTTGTGTTTGTAAAATTAAGATGCATAAATCTCATTGTATCTGTACTGTCCTTTAAAGTACTCCAAGGAATTCTATTAACACTAACTTCTAACACTAGGAACATAATTATTCTTCTTTTTAAAAAAAAAAAAAAAAAAACTTTGTAGGAAATTTAATTAAAGAAAAATAAATAAATAAAATGTTTTAAACACTTCTGTGTCTATAAGGACAGAATGGATGAGTGTGCAGTCAAAATTCATTTGGCTCATTAAAGCTTTTCTGTCTCTGGATGTACATTTGGTATTATTTTGGAATTGGAATCACACCACAAAAGGCTTATTAATTATCAAATGAGAACAATAATATCTCATTGCATTCAGAAAAATAAAAGCATTACCAATAATTCCAGGAGCCTCTATGGTCTTTAGTAATGATGATAGAATATACTTTGGAAGGGTATTTAAATAATTCTAAACTCTGTCAAAATTTGAAATCCTAGGTCAATAATCTGTGCTGGCACGTGCGCTGCCTCTCATGCAGTGTGTGTAAGACTTCACTGGGCCGACACGTGAGCTGTTACATCAGAGACAAAGAGGTTTTCTGCAAACTCGACTACTTCAGGTACATCACACATGCACACCACCTGTGTCCTATATGCAGTTAGTTCTATTCTAAATGTGAATTTTATAAAATGTCAGACTGTGGGAATCTGGGACTCAAGAATAGTTTAATATTATCGGTATATGATTTTTTTTTTTTCTGTCAAGCAGTGAAAGGACACACAGGTTTGCTATTCAAAATGTAGTAATAATAATAATAATAATGGATTGCATTTATATAGCGCTTTTTGGGGCCCTCAAAGCGCTTTACAATTACAAAAATGTAGCTTTCACTTCACCCCAAAAGATCATAAAGATTTTATCCAAAACATGAAGGAATGGAAAATGAGCTTAAACAAAACAATTTGGCTAGAAGAACAAGAACACTATAACAAACTGACCTAACCAGATGCTTATCCTAACAGAGGAAACCATTCTGAATGCAAAGAGGTGGGGACTATGCCCCCAGGTAATTTTTTAATATAATTTAATGTAAGATTTTGTTGCATATATGATATTCATATTTTTATAGTACACATCTAGTCTTTAAGTAATGATATCAAAGAGCAGAAAACTATCTGATCTGTGTGTTACGTGCATGAATTAATTTTAGTCAGAATCGACTGGTGAAAATATTTAACACCTCGCAATTGGGCTGCCTTTTGCTTTCAGTTGTTTAGAAACTTCCTGTCATTTCCATCCTGTTTAAATTTTGACTAATAGTTAATATTTGGCAGAGGGAGACTATTCCAACTGACTAAAACATGACTCTTAAGGAAGTCCGAATAACGTATGACACATCAACTTCTCTTGTTAGGGGATAAGAAGGGCAAGCTGCTGCAGCTTATCCCCAAATGCATCACTGGAGAAGAATATGTTTGTTTCAAATGGATTGTCTGGTTATATTCATCACACCTGCGATCAGGTACACATGCACTTTGATCTCAGATGATGATTGATATCAGCCCTCATGCAGGGTCAGGGCCGGGCTGGTACACATACTGGGGCGTGTAGGCAATGTAGGTACAGTGAACTGACAGGAAAGGCTAAAAATGTCAATGGATTATGCCTTAGACATTATAATCGGTAACAAAATCTTGTTTGGGTGAGGGTTTTCGTTTTCTTTTTTGTTTTTATTTTAAGTACAGGAAAAAATGTAAATGACTTTTTTTTTTTTTTTAAATGGGGTATCAAGGATGGACTGAAAACCTGAAGAAAGTCTTTCATAGATAAATACAGATTTTTTTTTTCTTTTTTCCCCTCTGTTCCAGGCGGTATGGGACTCGCTGTGCCCGTTGTGGGCGTAACATCCATTCTAGTGACTGGGTGCGTCGGGCGAGAGGTAGCACCTTTCACCTGGCTTGTTTCTCCTGCACCTCGTGTAAACGCCAGCTTTCTACAGGGGAAGAATGCGGACTTCTGGAGAATCGAATCTTCTGCCGGCCACACTATGATATTATGATGGAGAATCTCAAACGAGCCAAGGAAAACAGTGAGTGTATGGATGGACAAGGGTCCGATCTGAATTACAGCAAACAGTAAAATGATTGTGAAACAAATATTACACCCCCCCC